CGACTAAAATGATAAAAGGTCTGGAGAACAAGCCCTATGAGGAGCGGCTTAAGGAGCTGGGCATGTTTAGCCTGAAGAAAAGGCTGAGAGGGGATATGATAGCCATGTATAAATATGTGAGAGGAAGCCACAGGGAGGAGGGAGCAAGCTTGTTTTCTGCTTCCTTGGAGACTAGGACGCGGAACAATGGCTTCAAACTACAAGAGAGGAGATTCCATCTGAACATGAGGAAGAACTTCCTGACTGTGAGAGCCGTTCAGCAGTGGAACTCTCTGCCACGGAGCGTGGTGGAGGCTCCTTCTTTGGAAGCTTTTAAACAGAGGCTGGATGGCCATCTGTCAGGGGTGATTTGAATGCAATATTCCTGCTTCTTGGCAGGGGGTTGGACTGGATGGCCCATGAGGTCTCTTCCAACTCTTTGATTCTATGATTCTCAGAAGCCTGCTCACAACAGAAAAATGGAGGTCCAACTTGGCTCAAAGGCTTTGTGGCTTTCTTATGTTCCGATTGGCTCTACAGATAGGGCTCACAGGGAAACCCTATGCAAGCGTGTAGCTGCCTCTCTGCAAGCCACGTTTAACTGAATGAAACTGAAAGTAGACATGGTCAAGAGCAGGGTGGTCTGTTGCGGCCAAAAAAAGAAAGGCAGTTGTGCCCATGTTGTTAGGGCTGGCCGAAAGAGCCGGATCCCATTTTGAAAAACAGATCCATGCACAACCCTAATAACTTGCCTAAGGTCACCCAGTGGATTTCTGTGGCTGAGAAGGGATTCAAACTGTGGTTTCCCGGAGTCCTAGTTTAATAGTCAAACCACTACACCACACTGGATCTCCACTGTTTCTGCCACAAAGCTGACTTGATGACTTTGGGTGTTTCACCTATCTCTCAGTCTAACTTACTGAGGTTAGGATAAAGTGGGAAATGCACATCACATAAGTCTCCTAGAAGAAAGGTGAGTAATGGATTCAGTAAACTAAATAAGCAATGTCTTTAGAATGTCCACGGAAGAATATTTGCTTCAAAAATGCTTTTTCTTAAGTATCACAAAGCATTTGCAAATATTTTTTGTAACCTAAGGATTTGGGCATGCAATTTCTACTTTCTATACTTCCAACATACTGGAGTGTGTTACTGCCCTCTTGTGTAAATCATATGTCACTTCACATTGCAAAATCTGTGCTAGGCTTTGCTGCTGCTAGGCAACATCCCGCCAAACACCAGGCTTTGAACACTACAGTTGAACTTTTCCCCCGGCACTATACAGGCTACCCATGAACTTAGGTTAGGGTCTCTCTCCCTTGCTTCATGAATTGACAGATAATTATATTTATGATGTTATGGCTAGAAAATATTAATCTGGAGAACATTTTAAAATGCTTGCCTTTTTAGAGCCTCGTATTTGTTGCAATTATGTAGAAGATGCAAATGACAAAGCAGTGCAGACAAAGCAAATTTCTTTATAACCCCCAATGTGTGCTGTTAACTATTGAGTACGATTCCACTTGGGATGTTTATAATTTGAAAAGACCTGAAGTAGTGCTATTAAAAGATGTGTATGTATGCACATTTATGTGTGTGCAGAGGCGGCCCTAGGTAATTTTCAATGGTAAGCAAACAGTATTTTGCCCCCCCCTCCCCAACAATCACATATATACCGTAAAAACCAGGGTACTAGATGACTTTTTGGACATGTAAAACCTTAGAAAATTTTGGGGGTCGTCTAATACACTGGGTATAAAATTAAAATAATAAAAAAATTACCGGACTTGCTCATGGAGGCCTCCCGGGCAGGCTTCCCATCCTTCCTGCCTTCTTTGCACAGGCCCAGGCCTCTCCTTTGTTGGAGGCCGGGCCCCTGGGCTGCTTCCCGTGCTGCTCAGGCCGCTCTCCTTCCTAGCCAGGCCTCATGAGAATCGCGTCTTCTTCCCCAAACAGCGCGATTCTCGCGAGACCTGGCTAGGAAGGAGAGCGGCCTAAGCAGCGCTCCTTCCTAGCCAAGCCTCATGAGAATTGCGTCTTCTCCCGCGAGATGTCTCGCAGGAGAAGACGCGATTCTCGCAAGGCCTGGCTAGGAAGGAGCGCTGCATAGGCTGCATTCCTTCCTAGTCAGGTCTCGCGAGAATCGCGTCTTCTCCCGCGAGACGTCTCGCGGGAGAAGATGCAATTCTCGTGAGGCCTGGCTAGGAAGGAGAGCAGCCTGAGCAGTGCAGGAAGCAGCCCAGGGGCCCGGCCGCCAACAAAGAAGAGGCCTGGGCCGCGCTGTTTGGGGACTCGTCTTAAACGGCGAGTATATCCCCAACACACTATTTTGTTGGCTGAAATTGGGGGGTCATCTTATAGCCCCGTTGTTTTATACCCCAGAATATACGGTGTGTGTATATATATATAGGCATGGACAAATTTTGACCCTCCAGGTATTTTGGACCTGCTTGGGAGGGGAAAGGCAGCAATAGCAAGCAAGGAAGGGGAATATATTCCCCTCCTTTCCCCGCCATCGCTGCCTTCTCCTTTCCGAGCAGGAGTTGGTGAGGGAGAGAAGCAGTAGGAGCAAAGGGAGATGCACTTGAGGGTGGCGAGGAAGGCCCTGGTGGCAGCGGCGAGGAGGAGGAGGAGGCAAAGGAGGAGGAAGAAGTAGCACCAGCAGCAGCACAAAGAGGGGAGCCGCCATGTTGCCACCACCTCCTCCGAGGGCCTAACCAGCCCCCTCCTTCCCCGCCACCTCCTCCGCCTCGCCTTTGCCTCAGGAGGAGGAAGCGTCGCTGCCCTCCTCCTCTTCCTCCCGGCGGACCATGCTTCCCGGCAGCAGTGCTTTCTCCTCCTGAGACTAAGGCGAGGCGAAGGAGGGGGCTGGTTGGACCCCCGGAGAAGGCAGCGATGACATGGCTGCTGCTGCTTCTTCTCAGTTGGGAGCAAGGCCACGGTGCGAAGTTCGGCTAACCACTGCTGTTCGACTGGGGCATTTACGGAGGTGCCTCAAGAGCACCCCTGGGCAAAATCAACTATACCGCAAATGCTTACTTTGCGTAATGGGTTGAGCCGCTCCTGTGTGTGTTAAAGATACCTTTCTATCTTAAGGTATGTGCAATCATCATTTCAAAAGAATTGTTTGGGAAATAAAATGGTGGCATTGAGTAGAAAGCATTAATAAGAGATTTTTTTAGGTGACGGCAACAGCGTAGTTATGGAGGATAAGGGAATAAAAATGATAATAATAGTTATTATAATAATATCACCAGCCTCGTCCTTGCAGCTTGAGGAGGGGTATTTCCCCAAAATAAAAATTCTACCCCCTCCCCCAATGAAATTATCTTTCAGTCGCCAAATTTCTGGCACTGCAGGAATGCAATACTTAAAATGATTGTTCAGAGATAGAGTTTAGACATCCAGGGAAAAGGGACAGCCACAATTACCAAGGAAACATGAAAACAGCATACAGGAGAGTTCTAGACAGGCCTGTAGCGTGGGGGGGGGGGGAGGGGTTCAACCCCCCCCCCCAATTTTTCAGGTTAAAAAAAACTGGTTTACTCATTAATTTTAACTGGTTAACCAAATCCCCATGCTAACTCTATGAGACGCAAAAAATTAAGAGTCCCTCCAGAACTGCAAGCACTATCTCAAGCAAATATTGACAATTTATTCACACTGTCATTACTTGCAGCAATAGCCGATGTAGCGAAGCAACCAAGTTGGGGGGGGGTGTTGAATGCTCTCATTAAGGAGGCCAGACTTGGTGGAGGTGGTTGACAGGGGCGGAGCTGCAGGCTATTGAAGGCTGCTCTGCCCCCTGCTGTGCTCTTTGCTTCAGCGTGAGCTAGAAGGCAGGTTTCAACCCCCCCCCCCCGTGAAATTTTAATGCCATGGAATCATACCAGTTATAGGTTGTTGTAGGTTTTTTTTTTCGGGCTATATGGCCATGTTCTAGAGGCATTCTCTCCTGACGTTTCGCCTGCATCTGTGGCACGCATCCTCAGAGGTAGTGAGGTCTTTTGGAACTAGGAAAATTGGTTTCTCTCTCTCTCTCTCTATATATATATATATATATTTGTCGTGTCAGGAGCAACTTGAGAAACTACAAGTCGCTTCTGGTGTGAGAGAATTGGCCGTGTGCAAGGACGTTGCCCAGGGGACGCCCGGATGATTTGATGTTTTTATCATCCTTATGGGAGGATTCTCTCATGTCCCCGCATGAGGAACTGGAGTTGATAGAGGGAGCTCATCCGCCTCTCCCCGGATTCGAACCTAAAGACCTGTGCCGGCAGGTCTTCAGTCCTGCCGGCACAGGGGTTTAACCCCCTGTGCCACCGGGGACTCCTATATATCTGTGGAATGACCAGGGTGGAACAAGAACTCTTGTCTGTTGGAGCTAGGTATGAATGTTTCAACTGACCACCTTCATTAGCATTTGATGGCCCGGCAGTGCCTGGGGCAATCTTTTGTTGAGAGGTGATTAGATGTCCCATATTATTTCCTCTCTGTTGTTTTGCTGTTGTAATTTTAGAGTTTTTGAATATTGCTAGCCAGATTTTGTTCATTTTCATGGTTTCCTCCTTTCTATTGAAATTGTCCACATGCTTGTGGATTTCAAGGGGTTCTCTGTGTAGTCTGACATGAGTTCTATATGTTAATGATTTTTACTGACTTATTCTCTACAATGCTAGAAAATTGGAGGTTGAATGACAGTGGGATTTTGGGCTGCATCAAAAGAAGTATTGTGTTTAAATGAAGGGAAGCGATGGGGAATGGCTTAAATAGCCAGATATGCTTAGTCTTCAGAAGAGAAGGTTGAGAGGAGATATGATTGTCATGTATAAATATTTGAAAGGATGTCATAAGGAAGAGGGAGCAGCAGCAGGCTTGTTTTCTGCTGCTCTGGAGACTAGAACTCAAACGAAGAATGGGTTAAAACTTCAGGAAAGGAGATTCCACCTGAACTTTATTTTGTCATATGAATCAATATTTTTGAACACAATAAAATGGAATCATGATTTCCAATCAGTGACTATAGTGGCCATGAAAACTTTATTTCAAAAAAGTAAAACAGCAGGAAAAAATACTGAATAAATAAAACTGTTTTGTCATTTCCATACAGTTGATGGCCTTCATTCAAAACATTAGAATACTGTAACAAATAGAATAAACATGCATGAATCAATGGTCTAAAAAAAAGAGCTAGATTATAAAAGTAACACTTTTTGACACTTTAAAAAATATATAGCACAGGATTATTCAAAACGGAAAATAAATCAAAATACATTTTTTGCTATTTACATGGATAATTAAGGCCCAATTCACATAAGATAAAGTATACTGGGGATTTGTCAACCTCTTTGAGCATTCTGGAGGTAAAAAAATAGGAATTACTCTCTTGACTACGCAATGTGCAATAAAAGGGCTGCAAGCGGCAAACCAAACTGTTTCTTAATACAACTAAGAGAACTCGTGTCCTCTTGAAAGATGCCACTGTCCTTCATGCAAATGCAAAAGTGAGATGCCAGATTACCTTATTGAGCATATTGACTGATTAACAGTGAGCATTCATCAAGCTCACTGATCTTGTCTTCAAGTCGCCTACATATTTACTCATCTCTTAAACACCGCATATATTTTAAGACATGCAAATGCTGTACCTGTGCAGCCACATCTTCAAAAGATATGAAAGACAAGGGAGAGAAGCTTTTGCCTTCCAAATGTTTGGGGGAAGACAACTCCTACAATCCTGTACTATTGGCCAAAGTGGGTACTGTTAAAGGGAATTACAATCCCAAAGCAATACATCTCCTCTGATATAGAGAGTCAAAGGTCCCTCGCCCCTGATATAACATTAAATTGGGAGTAACTTTCACTCAAAGTTGGTTCATGTTCAGGATCTTCCTCCTCCTCCTCTACCACCACTGTTTCTGTTTCCTGGCATGTGCAGTGCTTGGATCTGCACAATTTATTCAATGAACAAGAGGGTGAACACCAAAAGGGTCAGCTTTTATTAGCAATTGTGTGCTTATATTTCTCATTTGCATGGAGAGGGATGGCATGCAAACTTCATCCCTACTGTGTCCCTTGTAAGCAGTCCCGAGTCCCCTAGGGGAGATGGTTGGCGGGGTATAAAAATAAAGTTATTATTATATTACTGTGTAAAGTGACATGTTTGGAGAACCATCTCTCCGGTATTGCAGCTGCAGGTGATGCAGCCTTTCAAAACCTCTGTTGAATGGTTCACAGGAAATAGGTTGGCCTTTCTCAAGCGCATGCTCTTCAGATGTTGCTGGATAACCAACATCTCTAGCCACTACGTTGTCAACATATCTGCTGGGCATTGCTTGGGGAAAGGTGAGGTAGGGCAAGGGTGAGAAACCGGAGGCATCTCTGATGCTGTTGAACTACAACTACTTCTCCTTTACTATGTTCCATTTCAAAAGATGCAGCGCAATAGCATCGGGAAGGAAACACATTTTCCAAAATTAATGTAGGGAGTATCATCAAATGAAAAGCAAAAAGTGTCAGGACAAGATTCTCTGAAGATCCATTTATTCATATTCACAAACAAGATGTCTATTGGAGGACATGTTTGTGGACTGAGGTCATCCCAGTCATAATGAGTCAGAGTCTCAAGATTAAATTATGCTCACAGAGAGTTGAGCAGTTCAACATCGAAGCATTTTTTTGCCTAACATCCCACCTCTCTCTCTTTTTAACAACAGAAAGTGCATTGCCCAAACATTCTTCTCTGCCCAGTGTAATACAGCATTTAAACTGCAATGTTTGGAAGCAAAGTTCAGAAGGCCACACTGAGGCTTCCTGAGGAGTGTTTCCTGAACCCAGCCTACTCCCAGTGGCAAAAGAAGGGGAGAGAACTGGATTTGCTGGTGGGCACTTTTCAGCTATACATGTGGCGAACATGCAAACTTCACAAATGCCTTAAAAGGCCTTGGTGTTCATTTGTTTTCAAAGTTTTCCAGTATCAGTGCTGCCACTGCTATGTTACGAAATTCTCCTGCTGCCATATGCAAATACCAAAACTTTACAAAAATAAAATGTATTATTTTTTCAGAAAGGCAGATACGGTCAAATAATGTAGCTATCACCCTGCACACAAACAGGTGCATTTCCATACCTGGCTAGTTATTTTTGGAGCACTCCAAATATAAATGAAGCTTCTCTGACTTGTGAGAACCTACCCGCAAGATGATGTCACTACATCTCTCAACATCCACAGCTAACAGGGCTAAGATGCTGGGGAAGGAGCTGCGGTCTGAGGCTCACTTGCAAAGTGACTTTTTAGAAAGAAAACATTTACATGTATTTTACAATTTCTTTCAGCTTGGAGTAGAATCTTACTCATTTTTATAGCTTTAAATGAGGATGATTCTTCAATTATAGTGGAAGCTTGAAATCAATTTGAATCTGCAAATACAGTAAGTAATTGAGGGGTTCTATACTCTTATTTTAAAAATAAAATGCACTGTCCACGTATGCTCCTGCTTTGTGAATAAATGGGTATTTAGACACCTGTATACAGTTTCCTGACAACTCCCTGCTGAAAGAAGCAAATACTCATAAAAAGAATGGGAATTTGGTAAGTCAACCAGTCAATTTTAGTAGGGATAAACAACTGACTTTAGGTCATAGTGTGCACATAATTCAATGGTCACTAATTGTAGGTATTTAGATGAATTGACCTCTGTCTCAAAATGATTATTTCGAATTTGAGCTAAGTTGTTTGCAGGACCAAACTCTACAATGATGCCACCAAATGCCCATACATCACCCCACTGAAATCAAAAGGCCCACAATGTATCTGATGATTAATAGCTCTTGCACAGGAAAATTGAAATATTACAGACGAGATGTAGATTCTGATAGGAAACTTCTAATTTCTTGAGATATCATTGTACTCTTTAAAGTTTTGGACATGTCAGTTAAATATTCAGAGACACAAATTTCCTAATTAAATCTTGCCATGAAGAATGATTCATGCGCTTACTCCTATGTCTCTGGGGCATGCAATCTTCTCTAAATCTACTCTTATTTGGGGTTGCATTTGGTGAATGAAGTCATTTTATAAATGAACTCAGCTCCCTTATTTTAATAAAGGAACCATTTCTTCAGACCATTTTGCATAACATATTGATCAGAAATAATCTTTCAAACATTTACATAAGTTTTTAATAATGGAATATTATTCTGTGCTGTGAGTCATTGGATTGAGCCTGCACGCATTTTGATGGGCTAAAGTGAACACGTGTCGCCATCTGCATGTGGCAAAAGCTACCACGTGTCTTGACAACATTTTACTTTTTCTCAATACTACAATAAAAGGAGAGCTGTCAAGTGCTGGCAGGCCACCAGATATGGCTTGAAGGTTGTGTTTGGCTTAGTGAGTCACAAGTAGTACAAAGTCAGCATTAAACTGAACGACTGTGTCTTTATTGGAAAAGCTGACTACAACACAAGGATGCTATCAGGTGAAGGGAAAAAAATAGAAACTTGCTAGACAAAACCCAAAAAGTCAGTGATGAACTCCTTTGGCAAGATACTTGACTGAAGATATAGTGTTTTGTTCCTTGATAAGTATATTTATTGTGACAAAATATTTCAAATATAAATTTCATATAATAAAATGCTGTTTAACTAAACACTCCTCTATCAAATACTAAACACATCCTTACCAAGTGAGGATTAAGTCCCAGCAGACCTTTGATGGACAAAGCCACTGATTATAAAAATCCTGCAATGGCTATAACACAATGTAACTTGTAACAGAACAAAAATATCAACAGAATGTTTTAAAGATTCTGCAACATTCATCCTTAACAACACTTTGTAATTATGAAACACTGTTGTGATGATCTTGGTGTTTCTGTGCTCATACTCATTCATGCACATACCCATTCTCTCTTTCTCACATACTTACACTTGTATCCACGTGCTCACTCATAGTTCTCTTCATATATGACTCATACTTCTCTTCATTTATGGGAGAGTTACAAATTAAGCCCAACACAGGACAGCCACTGAAACTGGCATCTATGCGGAGTTCTCCTCACTCCCTAGTAGAGCTAGCATCATTTTCCTCATGTTGTGACTGAATCACGTGGAGATTGCTGGCAGGGAATCGCAAATGATGGTAGAAAGAGATGATACATTCACAGTGGGATCACAGCAGCACATTGCACAATTCTTCACGTGTGGATGGAGAGGAGTACCTATCAAAGGGCGCTGTTTGAGGCAGTGGCCCTGGCTAGGCTTAACATGTAGTCCTGCTCACAGGCAAGAACGATAGGTATAATTTTACAAGTCAACATTCATACATCCACTGATTAAATGGAATAAATTAAACTCAAATTCATCTCCACACAGTTTCTTGCACTCAAGTCAGTCATTTCAGCCAGCTATGGAATAATACTTCTCCAAATTCTTTAAAAAATGAAGCTATTTGCACCATAGCTGTTTGGCACCAATTGCAACATTGCAAAAGTGTGCCTTGTCAGTTCCTTCAGTTCTTCATATTACCAGTACAGGAGGCAGGAATCAAAGCTGGTTGCTGATCTCATTAAAAAAGAAAATACCAACATTTGTGGATTCAGAAAGGAAGTTCTTTCCTTCCCTGCACTGGGAGAATAGATGCAAAAGGAGGTCCTTGGTACCTTCATAGGTCCTCTCCAGAAGAGGTATATACTGCTATACATAAATGCCCTCTGGGTTGAAACCAGAGGACAGTGGATTCTGCAGGATCCGAAGATTGCTGGGCAGCTGTCTTGATGAACTAGGGCGTTTCAAGGACCCCGTCTGAAATATTGTTTCTATGAGAGAAGATATAAAAGACAGCTTAAATAATACCATATTTTCCACATATAAGACGACTGGGTGTATAAGACGACCCCCAACTTTTTCAGTTAAAATATAGAGTTTGGGATATACTCACTGTATAAGACTACCCCTCTTCCAACGCACATCAAATAAAAAATTTAAAAGCATCAGATTTGATTTTAATATGGTAATTTTCCTATTACTATACCTCCTTCTCTGCCTCTCAGATCTTGCACATGAGCACATGACTTCACTGCAGTCTTCAGGAGCGAGATCTGAGAGGCAGAGCAAGTACAGTAATAGGATACAAGGGCGGGTCAGACAGGTAAAAGAGTTGTGTTTTTCTGGGCCCAGAGCCACTTTATCTCTTTTTTCTATATCCCGGGAGCACCCGGACGCCTGCAGCTTGCTCCGCCCTTCACTTACACCTTCCCGGTAAGGTGTCCCTTCACCTCACCATCGGAACCGCATTAAGTTCACAAATCCTGATGAATGGATTTTCTTCTACCATACTTGTACAGCGTTGCCTTTAATGCTTTCATACAGTCGCTGCATACGGCAGGGACACGGCCACTGCTATTTTTGAGCTCCCCCCACCATATGCAGAAACCACAGATTCTCCAGTCTGGATTGGATGTTTTAGCACCTGCTTTATAAGATGACTCCCGGCATATAAGACGACTCCTGCGTATAAGGCTACTTCTGCGTATAAGACGACCCCTGACTTTTGCAAAGATTTTCTTGGGTTAAAAAGTAGTCTTATACGCCAGAAAATACGGTACTTATGAACTTCCCCCTCTCCATACTGAACTAAATTAAAGTTAAATGCTGGGGATATATGCTAGTAGAGTATAAGGACACCATCCTGCTTGTGTTTCCCAGCAACTAACAAGATCTCTAATTTTGGAGACAACGTATTGCAGTCACGGTTAGCAACTGTGAATCAGTGTATTTATGGCATATTTGGAACCATTTGTTCTTCTCCCTTGCTTCCAACAGCTATTTTTTCTGAGTCTTTTAAGTCTTTTAAAAGGTACCACAGGTCTTTGGGTTGAGCTGAAGATTTACATGAGATAGAAGAATACTGATGACTTGGATAACCAAAGAAGGAAGTGAGCGAAGGGCCCTTCCCCTCTCTCCCTTTTGCATTGCTTTTTTGTGCCTCTACCTCCCTCGCGAGCAAGGCCACAGTGCAAAGGCCTGCAAACCACTGCTGTGAGAGCACTGTAGCCTGGCAGCCATTCCAGGGAGGCGGAGGAGGCGGGGTCTAAGGAGGCACTGCCACGACCCCTCTGAAATTGGCAATTGACCCCTCCAGGGGTGGTGTCCCCTAGGTTGAGAACTGCTGGCCTACAGGAAGGCTTTGACAAAAGACCTGCATTTACAACATACTTACCCATCTCAATCTCTGTGTGTGAAGCTTCCAGTTCTGTTGGTTCTGCAGGCAGCACAGTGACCTTTGTCCCTGTCTGCTGGATAAACTGCTGGAGATTGACTTGTCGCAGCTCTTTTGTCAACTGCTCTAGTTCCTGTTCCTTCTCCTGAGAAAAAGGTAAACAAGTTGTTTTGTGCATCCAAATTAAACATGAACAACTTGAAGAATTAAAAAAAATATACAAAGGTTGAGATCAATTTTAAGCAGAAAGCAGGCGTAGAATTTTAGGGGAAATAATGATTTACATAAGATTTATGTTTCAGGTTCAGTGTTAAGCATTATGATTCTTTAACTGTACTAAAGTACCAAACACTTTATCTTCATGTATGCTCCTTCTCCTCTGCAAACATATCCCAACTCCTCATGTACAACTCAAAATCCTCTGGATTTATTCCTAAAAGAATACATGCTCTACGAGAAATTTTGTGTGTACAAAGTAATTGCTGATTTAAAAGACACTCAAGTTCAAATTTCTAGCCATCAAGGCTAACCAAAGCCAGATTGATTTGAATGGCTTTTATTTTAAACATGATTATGGTTAAGTCTAAATCTAAACCAGTGAATGAAATGCTTATCAGCTTGTTGGTCCTGGCAGTAATAAAACTAAACCTTATTGAAAGTAAGCAATTCTCACACAGATAAAGAAATTACTGACATGCTACATGAAATCATGGGCTAAATCTTGAAAAATGAAGGCCATACTTGTGCTATAGCTACGTTCAACCTGTTTCTCCTGCATCCATCTATTTCTTTCTGCAATTCAAAACTCTCTGCAATTCAAATGTTTGCAAGATGACATGACTGAGGCAAATATTTAACACTGAAAAAGGCCTCTCGATATCCCAATATTATTGTGACCCTAAAGAGAAGTGCAATTAAAACAAAAAATCCATCTGAGTTTGTCACTCTCTTTGATGAAGAATAGAGAGGAAAGGAACACATGCTCTTGCTTTAGAGAGCATCTACCAAGTACGCTCTATATTGTACAGCTTTATTCAAGGGGCTTCCTCAACCAGGCAATTATAGGCTAGATTAGAAGGCTTTATGGAAGGCTAAAGTAGAGCATTTATGACCTGTCTTCTCAAAAACTAGAAGTGGTCCATGATAGACGACATCCTCACCTGTAATCGTATGGTGGCCTGGCCCAAAGACCTCTCAATTGCTTTAGTCCCATTTTCCAGTCTCAGACTTTGTTGCCCCTGAATATCAATTTCTCCCTTGACTTTTTCAATCTTCTCTTTGACTTCTTCTTCGTTGACTTTGGACTCCTCCACTTCTTGGTGTAACTTTTCAGCCTCAAGCCCGCTTTCCATGCCACGGATGCGGGCCACATACTCCTTCAGTTTGTTTTCACAATCCAAAATCCGTTGCCTCATCTCTAGGAGCTGCTCCTTCAGTTGTTTCTCATTTTCCTGCTCGATCTGGAGTTCATTTTCCCAGAATTCCTCCTCCTCAATTTCTACTTCGTTCCTTTTGATCTTCTGCTCCAGCCTAACAATTTCGTCTTCCAAGCTGTAACTGAATCTCTGCTCCCAGTATTTGATTTCAGCATCATTCGAATCCAGCTGTTTCTCAATAGACTGGAGCTTCTCCATCTGGAGGTGGATCAGTTTTTTCAACTCATCAACAGTTGCTTTGCAGTTCAGAACTTTCTGCTTGAATTCAGGATCTTTTCCTTTCCCGAAAATATCCATCAATCCTTTCGCCCCTCCTGTGAAAGTCAAAGATTTCCTTTTTGGTTCTCGCCTCTTTATTGACTTATCATTTTGCGGTCTTAGCTTGGCTAACGGAGGCAAGCTCTGACGATACAAAGTTCTTTCCGGTATTCGAGCGACACTGTCTGAAGTCGGCCTCTCGCTGAGGGATGGCCCAGTCCGCCGTAACACCAGTTGTACATCACTCGCATATTGTCCCCACTTATTCAAGGAAATAATTGGATTTTCATGAGGGGCCAGGTGCCTCTCTGTATCTCTCCATTTCTCTATTAAGGTATACCGTCCAGTACGACCTATGAAGAAAAAAACAAATGTATGCAATAATAAAAACTGACCAGGAGGAGGAGCAAGAGTATAACAAGATAAACGACAAAGATATTTCATTACTAGCAGAGTTTGTGGGACATCTGACACCATTTCATTTTAATTTTTTGCAGTCCTAGATAGGTCTTGCAGGTGACATGCATTACGAGACTCGTGATTTGCATTCCAAACCTGACACTTCTTTTCTGAAGTAAAGCAATTTTGATTGAAAGAAAGTGAAAACTCAGCTGGCTCTCTCTGTGTGGAAAATAACAAGTAAGAACTACGTCCTGGATTGAAATCAAGTATTGCCACAGGATTACAAAGGATAATCTTAAACTACCATTTCACCTCACTGTATTCCTAAAGACATTACAGCTTTAAAAACTCTTTTAACTAGTTGTTAACAACTGGAACCAAAAAATGTTTTGACCACATAATACAAAAGCAGAGTTTGAAATACTGAATATGAAGCACAAGTAAAAAGATTAATTCAAAACACAATGGAGTACACATTTGCTTCACAGAGATGGTAGCAGGCAATGGAGTCACTAGAGTAGGTATCACCCTGTGTGGTAATTCATAGTGTCAATCTCATGGGCTTCCACCCATATTAAACCATGCCAGAGAGTGGCACAGAATGTATTTCACTGAACTCAATACTGAAATCACTTTTCCTTTTGAAGCATGCCAAGAAACGTACCATATTTATTTATTTAGTGCATTTATACCCCTGCCCTCTCTCACTTTTTTAAAAGGTTCAAATCAGGACTGGAAAAAGCTGAAATTCAACCTGAAGTAGTTTCACTTACCAAAATAGGACTACTCTAGAATGAGTAGTACTTGTCTTGCTAACCAACACAGCACTTTGTCTGAATGCTGAAAGCTCTTACAAGGATTGGAAAAGAAATCACAGAACATAAAGTATTATCCTTGCATTACAGACAGAGCTTGGAATACTACTTTTAAAAGGTATAAAAGCATAAAGGCTAGTGCTGTCATATTTTTTTAAAACACCATGTCACCTTAACAATTTCACAACTTTTTCCAATTGATTGGGAAGTGCTCGCTCTTAACTATACAAGGCCACCGGGGTAAGGGTGGCATGGGATGAGGAGCTCCTTTATTGTTTCCTTAAAAAAAAGAATAAAAATAAAATTTAAGAGATTAGTATGTTTTTTATTTTCAATATCATAAAAAACGGTGAAACAAATCTAAGTTATATACTCGAGTATAAGTCGACCTGAATATAAGCCAAGGCACCTAATTTTACCACAAAAAAACTAGGAGAACTTACTGACTTGAATATAAGCCGATGGTGGGAAATGCGGCAGCTACTGGTCAATTTCAAAATAAAAATAGATAGCAATAAAATTACAGTAATTGAGGCATCAATATTTATTTATTTATTTACGGCATTTATATGCCACCCTTCTCACCCCGAAGGGGACTCAGAGCGGCTTACATACAATACACTATACTATTAGCATAGTACAATAGTATTATTATTATTTTTTATTATTATTATTATTATTATTATTATTATTATTATTATTATTTACAGCTTTTATATTCCGCCCTTCTCACCCCGCAGGGGACTCAGGGCGGATTACAGTGTACACATATATGGCAAACATTCAATGCCAATTTTTGACATACAAACATATACAGATATACACAGAGGCTATTTAACTTTTTCTGGCCTCCAGGGGAGCTGTCACTTTCATCGTCCATCTGCGACGTTGATGAAGCACTTCCGCATTCCCGCAAGCTTCCCCGCTGGAATGCTTTGCTGGAGTCTTCTTTATGGCCTCATAAATCAGTTAATTTAGCCTCCCCACACTTTAAGGTGGTACCTTATTTTCCTACTTGACAGATGCAACTGTCTTTCGGGTTGCAAAGGTCGACAACAGGCTACACACAATTGGTTGGAAACCTACTCCAACCCGGGCTGGCTTCGAACTCATGACCTTTTGGTCAGAGTGATCTTAATGCAGCTGACACTCAGCCAGCTGCGCCACAATCCCGGTGCCGTCAGAGCATTATCAGCATTAAACACTGCTATATTGTACTATACCAATTATATTGTAATACTATTAGTAATATTACATGTAATATAAATATATAATTACAATATCATATTATTATTAGTATTATAATGCTTTACTTTATAATATCATAAATATTAAATGTATATACAATATATTAATTATATTATATTATATTATTAGAATAGCACAGGAGACAAGGTGGAACTGTCTCCTGGCCCCCGCTCTCTTCACTCTGGCTCAGAGCGGCAGTTGGTTAAAAGTTTTTGAATATTTGCCGTATTTCAAAGAAAAGCAGTAAACTAGCTCTGTAAGTGGAAAGTAGGGTCAACAAAAATAATATGGTATTGACAATAACTTAATAATAATAATAATAGTAATAATAATAATAATAAACTTCATTTGTATCCCGCTCTATCTCCCCATACGGACTAAGGCCAGCTTCCAACATGATAGCAGTCAAACATTTAACGCCCATATAAACAATGCAGATCTGGGAACTACTGCTAAATGAGGGAGACTTTTTTCTGAAGGACCTACCCGTCACCCTTTGAACAACTGTCTCCAGGATTCTCTGGGAAGGATGTTAAACCTATTTAAAAGTATAAATATACTACACTTATAACCAGTTTATGAGGCTCACATTGAATTCTGTTATATGTTTATTAGATTTTTTTTAAAAAAAACGGAACTATTAAATAAATGTAATATTTTTTTCCTGAATCATAACTGTGAGCCATGCATTAAGTGTTAATGAGGAACTGTCTTGCTGAAATGGTTGAATCATGTACACAGATATGCAAACAGGAAGACAACATATATTCTGGGGCAGTTCAAACATATATTTATGGATGCACTGTGCACCTTGGTACTCACAGTAAAACCAAATCCAATGCTACCCACCCTGGCAAAGCCGTATTCCACAAATGGTCTTCAGAGCCAGGGCTCCAGGGTTATACTTTCTTAACTTAAAATTTTCAGGGTTTTTAGACTATTCAATAAAGCTATTATCAGATTCAGTGCCAACCAGAGACAGATTTGACTTCACAGAGGCAAGCTGCTTAGCATAGTCTATAATTTTAGGTTGATTTGTTGTTAAAACTATTATAGTACTAAAAACAACACTCCTCCAAATACCCTGAGAAATAGGGGATAATAAGTACATGTGCAAAGGAAATTGAATCAAGGGATTAAGTAACACAGAGAACAAATAAGCAGCTGTTCATGGGTAGGATTATTATTTTGTATATTGGCTTTTGAGATTGCATAAGAAACTTGTGTTCTGTTCTTCAGAATTAAGAGATACAAGCCTATATTTTAGAACTACTAAACTAAATATTGCATGGTGATAGTAACATTTGCAGAATGTTAGTAATCACTGTGTTTTCCCTTGCAGGAAGTCTGGAAATACAAGATTGGGAATTATGTTCTAGATCTGTGGTTCTCAACCTCCCTAATGCCGCGACCCCTTAATACAGTTTTCTCATGTTGTCGTGACCCCCAATCATAACATTATTTTTGTTGCTACTTCACAACTGTAATTTTGCCACTGTTATGAATCATCATGTAAGTATCTGATATGCAGGATGTATTTTCATTCACTGGACCAAATTCAGCAAAAATGTCCGATACATCCAAATTTGAATTCTAGTTGGGTTGAAGGGGAGATTGATGCTGTCATTTGGGAGTTGTAGTTGCTGAGATTTATAGTTCACATACAATCAAAGAGCATTCTGAACTCCACCAAAGACTGAATTGAACCATACAAAGGTGAATCTTTGCGAGCTTGAGTTTTTAACTAACAGTGCTTTCTAATCTGTGTCATTCTAAGAAAAGACTAATGAGACCCAACTTCTTATTTCACTGAAGTAGTATGCTTGGGCAAGCAGAAAATACTGACTTACTAAAACTTAAAGATGAGAGGGAGAAACAACATCGGCACTGACCACTGGTGGAAGAGCGTGTTGGTGATGACAAGGTTGTGTTCTGCACATTTAGTGAGAAGCAGGATCCCATTCGAGTTGTTTCCAACTCCACCTTTTCCTATGGTCCCTGGCCACAGGTCAAAGTCTCGCCCGACTCTTGCATTAAAGGCCCCCAGGAGGAGGATTTTGTCCTCCTTAGGTATCCCTGATAGGATGGTGTCCAGCTGACAGTAAAAAAATTCCTTGATGTCTTCATCAGCATCTAGTGTTGGTGCATAGGCAGTTATGATGGTTGCCTGTTGGTTTTTGGCAAGATCAGTTCGGAGGATTGAGAGTCTTTCGTTGATGCCAGTGGTTGCTTCGGTCAGATGTTTCATCAGATCATTTCTGATAGCAAAGCCAACACCGTGCATTCTTTGGACTTCTTCGGGCAGTCCCTTCCAGAAGAAGGTGTAGCCTCCTTTTTCTTCCTTCAGCTATCCCTCTCCTGCTCTCCGGGTCTCCTGAAGGGTTGCTATGTTGATGTTAAAGCGTCACAGCTCCCTTGCAAGGATAGCAATTCTGCGTTCGGGGCATTCACTGTCAGTGTTGTCCATCAGTGTCCATACATTCCATGTAGCGAAGTTCATTTTTCTTTTTTGGCCGCAGGGTGGTGACCCACTGGATGCAGCAGTCCAGTCAGGGATAAGAGAGGCAGACTATGCTTAGGGCACCTTTTCTAGCCTCCTCCCCATGTGGGGTGAGCAGAGTGGATCCTCAAAAGGGCTGCTCAGTCATGGATACAGCTGCCAAACTGCTCAACTGCCTCGGACCTTGAGGTAGAACGACTGAGTCCGTATCCACCGCCCATGTGCCAGTCTGTAACTAGGGGCTTCCAGATTTCACAGTCCTGCCCCCTGTCGCCACTCGCTGATCGCCATGGGACTTTGGTTGGTTTGTTTTTATTTTCCTTGGAAGACGCCTGTGCATGAGTTTTTTTTAATGTGTGGAGGTCAGTTCACAACTGATCAACACACAGTCTTCACAGAGTGAGGTTCCACTGGTGTTGTAGTTTAACACAATGACGCATTGTACTATCTGTAGTTTGAATCCCAAACTACAGATGAATTGGGGATACTTCTGAAATTAAACTTTTTGCTTTGAAGTAATTTTAAATTTTTCTTTTTTGGAATTCACACGCGCGCGCACACACACACAGGCACACACAGACAAATCTTATTTGTTGAGAGGAATTCCTTGGAGATCAGAAAGTACAATAAAATAAATGAAATTAAAGAGACAATTGGCTTCCGTAGTGGAAGGAAATTTACGTGTGATATTTCCCACTTTTTCGCTGTGTCGCTTTTTAGAAACCCCACTAAAGGCTGCATACACTCCATTTATGTCTACAGCTGGGTTACAGACTCATAAAATGCAGTTCGGTGTAATTAATCTGCATTGTATGAGCTTATACAGACCATATAAGGCAGTTTATATTGACCATAAAATGCAGCTGGCCCAGGGATGGCCCATCAAAGAAACTACTCTGTGCAGACAACTGAAGAAGGGACAAAGATAAGCTCAATATTCATGAGTTGTATTGTTTGCAGCCAATACTGCTGTATTATCTGCACTGTCTGGATTTTTCCCCCTACCTCCGACTGTTTGGGTACTAACAAGGAAAAATTGATTTCACACATGCTTCTTTTTCAATTTCCACCTTTATGTTATTTGTACGAGATCTAGATCAGTCATGTACAGTTTTACTTTGTTAGATTTTCTGTAGTGGCTATGTAACCATTGCAAAAGTGAAAAGGGAGAGGAAGAGATTAGCAGAAGTGATTCTAGTCATAGCTGCCATTTATGTCTAGAATTGGCTTTTGTCACACAGACATTATTTCACTTACCTATAGCTTGAGCAAGAGCTATCACGACCTCCTGACAAGTGGTAACTTCTGTGACCCCACAAACGATCCTCTGGACTCCATCGACCCATACCTTCAGCTCCATGATTGGCCAGATCACCCAATGGCCATGAATGCAGTTCTTAGGATGTCAAGTCATGTTTGTAGCTATGCCAGACAGTGCCAACATGCTGGTGGCAATTATTATCTGGAAGAGAAAAGAAAAAGCCCCACTCGTTTAAGGTATGTCCAGCAGACCCAAACAGTACAAAATGTAGCATTGCTATTTAGAAAAAGCTAGACATGTTTTATTTTCTAACGCACTTCTTGCCAAACAGGCAGATTGCCTTTTTTTTATTATTTGGCTGCTCTGATAAATTTGTCGAGTAGACATTTCTATTTGTATTATTAAGAACTGTGAAATAAATACAGTTTAAAAACAGGCAATGCAGTTATATGATTTTTATTTAAAAGCACTTTCCCATGTAGTTGTGCACACTTCATCTTTTGTAAGTAACTCCAATTTACAAATGTGTTTACTTGTTTTAAAGGCCACCGTTTCTTTTATTATCTCAAAAATAATAATACTGGAATTGATCATAATACAGATCAAAAAGACACTGCCAGCACTTCTCCAATGATTTCACTGTGGTCCTATCAGTACTTTTAGGTGATTTTACATGTCACAATATTTTAAAGACACTGCCAGCACTTCTCCAATGATTTCACTGTGGTCCTATCAGTACTTTTAGGTGATTTTACAAGTCACAATATTTTACATGTCACTGACCACGGAACAACAGACTGGTTCAAGATTGGGAAAGGCGTACGGCAAGGCTGCATCCTCTCACCCAACCTTTTTAACTTGTATGCAGAACACATCATGCGATGTGCGGGGCTGGATGAATGCAAAGCTGGGGTGAAAATTGCTGGAAGAAACATTAACAACCTCAGATATGCAGATGACACCACTTTGATGGCCGAAAGCGAGGAGAGCTGAGGAGCCTTCTAATCAAGGTGAAAGAAGAAAGCGCAAAAGCTGGGTTGCAGTTAAACGTCAAAAAAACCAAGATTATGGCAACAAGAATGATTGACAACTGGAAAATAGAGGGAGAAACCGTGGAGGCCGTGACAGACTTTGTATTTCTAGGTGCAAAGATTACTGCAGACGCAGACTGCAGCCAGGAAATCAGAAGATGCTTACTTCTTGGGAGGAGAGCAATGTCCAATCTCGATAAAATAGTGAAGAGTAGAGACATCACACTGGCAACAAAGATCCGCCTAGTCAAAGCCATGGTATTCCCTGTAGTCACCTACGGATGTGAGAGCTGGACCTTAGGGAAGGCTGAGCGAAGGAAGATTGATGCTTTTGAGCTGTGGTGTTGGAGGAAATTGCCGAGAGTGCCTTGGACTGCGAGAAGATCCAAGCAGTCCATCCTCCAGGAAATAAAGCCCGACTGCTCACTGGAGGGAAAGATACTAGAGACAAAGTTGAAGTACTTTGGCCACATCATGAGGAGACAGGAAAGCCTAGAGAAGACAATTATGCTGGGGAAAGTGGAAGGCAAAAGGAAGAGGGGCCGACCAAGGGCAAGATGGATGGATGGCATCCTTGAAGTGACTGGACTGACCTTGAGGGAGCTGGGGGTGGTAACGGCCGACAGGGAGCTCTGGCGTGGGCTGGTCCATGAGGTCACGAAGAGTCGGAGACGACTGAGCGAATGAACAACAACACATGTCACAAATCCAAGTCTCAAATATCAGGTCCATTCGTTAAGCATGTGAAATTGGGTCTAAAACCCCTAAAGGATCTTGGAAGCTAATTTGGGTCAGCCGTGGCTAATATTTGGAGACCATCAATGAATACCAGGTGGAGTAGGCTATATTTCAAAGGAAAGGACTGAAAAAAATATAATGCCCATAATGAGCATGGCTGCAACACACTTCAGCATTTTCCATGCACACACATTTTGGTGTCAAAATCAGTGACATTAAGAAGTGTATTGATTGTGAAAGGATAATCTTAGGAATTTGACCATCTTATATTGCCAAATTATAAAAGCACCAGACCCTATCTGAGCTGAGAAGTTAAGCATGGTCAATCTTGATTGGTACTTGGATAGGAAAATGCCAATAAATTCCAAATGCTGTAGGCTATATTTCAAAGGAAGGAACTGGCAAATCAACCACTGGTTATGTCTTGTCTAAGACGACTCTACGAAATTCATGGTATCACCTAAAGACAACATTCAGCTTGACAGCGCACACCCATGACATTAAATTTTGTAGAACCTCAAAATACAATGCATAATTCAAATGTATAGTAAAACTGTTTTTTGGTTGGGGGGAAAATTGCAATGAAACAACTGCACTATCTCAAGTACTCCTGTTCCGTCTTCCAGAAGCATGGCTTATATTGCCTTTTAGCTGCATGGGATAGCATTCTTTTGCATTTCCCCAGGGTTGCTACAATTTCAGCTGCACCCTGAAAGTTAACAGCATCAGAGGCTGGAAAGCCAGCCTGCAGGCCTTTTTGCAGCTATTGGTTTAGAAAGTATCTCTTTGGGTTTAGAGACCACCCTTTTTCCTAGGGTTTGAGATATCCATTTTGGAATCTTCCCTGCTGGTTAGGCAGGTAGCTCTGAAAAAATCATTGTAAGTATGATTGAGTAATATTGGGTCTAATTGAGATATGATTGAGTTATTGAGATATAGAAAGCTTATTAAGATATAGAGAAGCTGATTGAGTCATAGAAAGATAGATTGAGTTGATTGAGTGATTGAGTTATATAGATAAAGAAGCTAATTGAGATAGATAGAATAGCAATTGAGTTATAGATAGCAATTGAAATATAGATAGCAACTGAGATATAGAAAAGTTATTGAATATTATTGAGCAGTACTTCATCTCCAAAGCTAACCTTGAGCTATAGATAGGGAAAAACCTGTTTTTCTAACTATAGCAGCTCAGGGTTAGGGTGAAAGGATCCCAGGATATTTTCTACCTTTTGGGGAAGAGTTACCTCAGTAACTGAAGAAAAAAGAAAGAAAGATCATTTCTATGGTTTCACCAATTGACTGCTTTGTTTGTAACTTTGACAAGCTGTGCCAAGTCTGCAAGGACTTTGAGAAATAAATATTCTGTTTTGATGCTCAAAACTTGTAGTAGCCTCAGTTGCTGGGAATCTCAAGCTTTTAAGAAAGACATCCGCAGTTCGCCCAGATATAGAGAGAAGCACCTCTTAGTTTTATTTTTATAGTGTCTGGGTGTGATGGCACAACTCCTAAGTTTACAAAATAAAGAAACCACTGTTGAAATAATATAAGCTGGCCAAAGCAACCTACCAGCTCATTACTAGTTGTATATACAGTATCTAGTCATTTTATGACCATTGAAACGCAAGGATAGAAAGGTGGAGTGTGTTCATACAACAAGCCTGCAGGGTAGGTTAGGCAGCAATATTGAAATGTCTGATGTGAACGTCAAAGCTCAGCAGGGATTTCTATGTCTGAGTAACATTTCTGGAAGGAAGCCACTGAAAATACTGAGGCTTACTTCAAAGTGTCTCTAAGATTCAAAGCTTCTCAAAGCAATATTCATCACTCTTGAAGCAATAATTGGAATTGAGAGGAAGATTTAAAGACATTTCCCTTTTTAAAAAATTAAGGCAAGATCTCAGAGACTCTTGGATTACTCTTGTTATATCTCAGTGAACTGAAATGCTCTCTCTTTTCTCCCAATTGATTGGGATGGCTATGACAGAAAAAGCCTTAATTTTCTATATGGGATGGGATCCAAACAAATAAAACCAATTCTGCTCATCCACCTGTTCAAGAGCTTTGAGCTTGTTTTTCCTGAACAGTCATGTAGAGAATGCTTTGTAAACTGAGGTCGTGGCAGGTTTTTGATGCAACTGTTTAAACAACAATAACAAAAACCACAGGGATAATAATAATAATAATAATAATAATAATAATAATAATAATAATCTTTATTTCTACCCCGCCACCATCTCCCCGATGGGGACTCGGAGTGGCTTACATGGGGCCAAACCCGGACAACATAATACAGCAATAAAATCAAAACATATACAACAGACAACAACATTATCAAAATGACATTAAAATAATAATATAATAATTAAAATAAAATAAAAATTCCAATAGACACAATCACAATAGAGATGACAATGGGCAGGCCACATATTCCGAATAAAAAACAAAAACAAACAATTAACAGATTATGATGAGATAAAATAGGAGCAGGACGTTTAAATGGAACTCATAAAACACACAGAGTTGTGGGAAAGAACATCCTATTTGGAGGGCACGAACCCCATTAGCTGAAAACGTTGAGGGGGTGCCCTTGATAGTGTAGATTTTTAGATCCCAGCAATAAGCTATATTTCATAGGATTTTATTTAGAAACAGAAGTTCAAACAATTTCTCGCTCAACTATATATAGATAACAGTATGTTCTCCCCTAGAAAAGACACAACAAAACCATTATTTTAACTTGCCTATAAGGACGCTGAGAAACTCTTTATTCACTATGATGGGTACATTCAGAAGAACCTGGAAAGAATGCCACACAAGCTTAAAATTCAGACCCAAAGAAACTGTGTATGAGATGTATATGGATATGTTATAACAGATGACAACTTTACTGCACAAGGAGGATGCAATGGCAATACAAGAAGGGCATGACGAAGCACCACCATCACACTATCTTTTCCCTCTTCTAAGGGCTCTCAAACGTGGAATCGGAATGTTAGAGCTGGAAGATACCTTGTGGGCCATCCAGTCCAACCTCCTGCCAAGAAGCAGGAAAGCTGCATTCAAAGCACCCCCAACAGATGGCCATCCAGCCTCTGTTTAAAAGCCTCCAAAGATGGAGCCTCCACCACAGTCCAGAACAAAGAGTTCCACTGCTGAACAGCTCTCACAGTTAGGAAGTTCGTTCTCATGTTCAGGTGGAATCTCCTTTCCTGTAGTTTGAAGCCATTGTTTTACATCCTAGTCTCCAGGACAGAAGAAAACAAACTTGCTCCTTCCTCCCTATGGCTTCCTCTCACATATTTATACATGGCTATTATGTCTCCTCTCAATCTTCTCTTCCACAGGCTAAACATGCCCAGATCTTTAAGCCGCTCTTCATAGGGCAGCTTAAAGAGCTGATAAATCTCCTTCTGTCTACTGGTGGGGATG